CCCCCCCCCAGTATAAAAACAAACGTACCTCCCCTAAAAATACGATAACATTGCAAAAGAATCATTTTATCCAATTCCAATGACATCATAAAATATAATTTCAGCTCAGAAAGGTTAATTCAGAAATTAAAAACCTTTATTTGCAAACAAAGGCTCTGGATCAATCCAAGTTCCCAACTCCTTCGGTCCAGCAGTTTACAAACCTTTGTTATGCTGTTACAGTCAAATGGGCTTTTGAATGTTTCAAAGCATTCCTTCGCAACCATAAGCGTCCTTGGTGAAAGTTTTAAAAAATCTTTCAACCTCATTATTTTGGCTTAAAAATTGTCGCACTAGGCTTTGGTTTGTCATTAACTGTGACAATTCAATAAGTTACTTATTGACAATTGGTTCAATCAGGTCGAGATAGTTCGGTTGTGTTGTGAGCGTTCACATTAGAAAGTATTTTCAACTTCAAACGAGTATTTTATAATGGCAAGTGTGGTGTTACCTCATTTATTAGACATTGAACTAAATTTCTTAGTATCTTTGAGCTGAAAAGGTTAGTAGTTGTTATGAAAAATCATAGTTGGAAAACTTAATCAAAAAGTTAAAGTTAGTGTGAAAGTCAAGTCATCTCGTCGTTGTCGAACTGTGCCGTCAGAATTTGTCCAAAAATGGCTTCACAAGCTCCTACTTTTGAGAAAGACAGGATCCGTGCTTTGAAAAATGAAAGAATATCTTCTCAAAAGAAAACGTTTACTAAATGGATGAACTCGTTTTTAAACAAGGTAAGTGCAGGAAGTCGAATTAAAGATCACGTTGATTGTTCTGGAACGCAGAACTGTTTTCGCATGTTTGCATTTACCGCCAAAATAAATATGAGTAAATTGTTTTTAAAGACTTTGCTCCTCGTATCTTGAGGAAGGAATTTTCTTCATTCTTAAAACTATTTAATTAACTTCCACAGAGTGAGAAACTACAAACCGGATTTTAAGTCGAAATCTCTAATTCTGTATCACAAATGCATTTAGCATTTATATAGATACGTTTTCTTCGAATAATTTTTAATAATCAATTTTTCAAGCTTCTGGTCACACCGTTTTATTATTTTTAAAATTTAAAATTTATGATTTATTTCATTTGCAAGGAAAAGCTGTTAGGTTGTGTTTTGGTGTTATATATTTTTGTATTTTTTAATTCAGTCAAATCTACATGTGGATGACTTGTTTGAGGATCTTGCTGATGGCAAAATGCTTATCAGTCTGCTTGAGATTATTTCTGGAGAGAAAATTGGGGTTGCAGGTAACAATTGACTTATTAGTTATTGAGCAGCCCTTATAATGTACCAATCGAATATCATATTGTAATCAATTAGGGACATTTTTAAGGGAGGGGGGGTGGGGGGACGATGCAGCCCCTGTCTCTTTTTGTGACCGATTCTTTTCCAGAGATTTAGCTCTATGCTATGCTGTTGTTTCATGGAGCTATTTTGTCAAAACTGCCTTGGGCAATAATCAATCAATCAAATGCGGTTGCCAATAATGTAATGAAAAATTTTCCCTTTCAAAGGGGGTAACTATAGCCTCTCAATCCACCCCCCCTCCCCCCCCCCTTCCTAGATATACACAGCACTTGAGTGGCAGACCCATCACTAAGGATGTATCAAAAGTGTGAACAAACCAGCCTCTTTCTCCTTCTTTTTATAATTCTTACTTCAACCATAAAATAGCAAATGTGAAACTGACCCTTTTCCGAAAGAAGCCCTATTGACAGGCATGTGCAGTCCCCATAGCTCCTAGTGAATGCATCAGGTCCTTGTACTGATCAAATCAATCTTTTATCTTCTTTTTACAGCACGTGGAAAACTACGTGTTCATAAAATTCAGAACATCAATAGAGCTCTGGATTTCTTACAAAAATCTGTGAGTATTGGTATACTGTACATTGAACTGTCTGTGTTCCAATCATTAGCATCTGAGCAGGGGAGGGGGGGGGGGGGGCTCAAGAGCCAAATCAACCAAGTTCTTGATTTTTTACAAAAATCTCAGAGTATTGGTACATGGTGCATGAAACTATTTCTGTTGTAACAATTATAAGAGGGTTTTCATTTATTATCACATGGGGGAGGGGTTTAGGAAAATCACATGGAAGGCTTTACAAACATAACACACCCCCCCCCCCTCCATGGAAGAGACAACAATTACATACAGTAGCCCCCCTTTCATCATCCTGCAATAGTTCTCTTAGCTTCTCAATATGTGATAACCTCTGCTCATTTAACCCCTTTCTCAAAATAACATATCCCCCACCACCATTTTGCCGATCCCTCTTCACCCATGTGATTGAGCCACAAGTCCTGGGATTTTTCAAGTTTTCAAGAAATCTTATAATGAGTGAATAAATGTTTTCTCAATCAGGTTAAATTAGAAAGTATTGGTGCAGAAGATATCATTGATGGCAATGAACAGCTTATACTGGGATTAGTCTGGATGATCATTTTGAGGTTCCAGATTGCTGACATATCATACGAGGTGAATTTTATAATTTAATATCCGTAAATGCCTAAGACTATTCTCTTATAAGTTAAATGCCTTGACATTGAATGGAGTAAGGGCCTGCTGTCCTGCCACCGCCCTCCCCTCCCCTCCCCAATACCCAGATTTTATTTTTTTGTTCTTGTTTTGCTTTTATATGAAAGACAATTCAAATACGAGTCTGTAGCAAGATCCATGCAGCACCCTAAAAGGGAGGGGGGGGGGGGGAGGAAGCTTAGATTAATAAATATAGCACAATAGTATGCATAAAACCAAGAGAGCATGAACTAAGAGAAGAAATCTCAGTTATTAATGCTTGTAACCATCATTGGCACCATTTGATGCTATTTTTAGAATCACATTTGCCATTGTTTTTCTGCACGCGCATATATGCTATGTGCACTCAATGCTTTTTGCTCTAGTTTTTTGAAAAACATAAAGAAACATGAGCAAACAGGGTAGAGTATGTGCAGTACGCTCATGCACAAAAACGAACAATCAAATAAATAATTCTAAAAATAGCATTAATGATTTTTTTAAATAGCATCAAAGAGTGCTTTAGTCCAGTTGCTGGCCCCTCCATCTAAAGTGGAGCAGACAAAAGAGGGGCAGCATCTGGACTAAGAGTGCTCATGATGGAGCATAGGGATTCCTTTTCTTGGTTAATTTTCTTTTGATAAAAGTAATTGTAGAGGATAATTGGAGACTGTAAGTTTTTTCTGTATAAAACCAATTTGTTTGGATGGTGAGCCTGTTGTCATTCAGGTATTCAAAATTTGTGTCAAGAAGAGTGGTTTTACTGTAAGTTGAATTTGGTTATTACATGATCTTATATTTTCATTGTTTTAGGATGAAATGTCTAGAGAACGCAAGTCTGCCAAAGAGGCTCTTCTGCTGTGGTGCCAAAGAATGACAAGAGGGTAAGAATTCATATGGATTAAGGAGGAAGAATGGGAGGACAGGAGGACGGGAGGTCGATTAGAGAAGGGATTGAAGGAAGGAAAGAAATGGAATGAAAGGGGAAAAAAGGGGATGAAAGTCAAAAAACATATAGGAACGTATAGTGCATATAGTCAATTAGCCAACACGTCTGGATAAAGGGGGAAGGAAGGGAAGGTTGATTTATGGGAGTGATAGAAAGGAAGGAATGAAGGAAAAAGATGAGAGAGAGAGAGAAAAAAAAAGAATGGGGTAAAAAGCCGAAGAATGACCAGAGGGTATTGGAATCCATGTAGTCAGTTAGTCCAAACTACCGGATTAAGGAGAGAGAAAAATGTGGAAATGAGTTAGAATAGAGGGAAGGAAATGAAGACAGGAGAAGGATGAAGAATTGGAAACAAGAAAAAACAAACAAACAAAAAAAATTGTCAGAAAGCTAAAGTAAAAAGAAAATGGATGAACGAACGAATTTATGAACGAGCCACGTTCATTTACACACGGTGGTTCGATCATTAGCTAACAACATGAAGGCCGTGAGGGAGATTGAAAAACAGGGCAGTTTTTGATTCGTTGTGCAAAATTTTCTGAACTTCCTTACCTGTGATGCACAATCTCTTTTATCCTCTCTCTTCCCCCCTCCCTCCCCTCCCTACCTGGTTTTGTTTTCCATTTGTATCCTTATTCCCATAATATTACTCATCCCCATGCAATCAGCCTTAATCAGCGCTTTCCCCATAAGCAATGACTGATTTCCTATTCAGTTCGTTAAATTTTTGATTGCGCAAATCAGATATCCAGGAGTTGACATCAAGAACTTCACCACCAGCTGGCGTAATGGGTTGGCGTTCAACGCGCTCATTCACAAACACAGGTAACGCAATATGGTAATATTGATTGTGAATCTTTGAATAAAAACGTATTATGGTAAATACAAGTTCGGACAGCTTTAATAGGATTGCATCGGAAGGGTGTTGTTAAGCATTAGAGTGCTTTCTCAATAGCACATGCGCAGAATCGTACAATTTACACGAAAAAATAGTGTTTTGGTAGACGTCTATCAAAGTGTTTTGAGGTTTGACATTGTTGGAAAACACACAACAAGGTTTTCAAGGACCTATGGAAGCGCCTTGATTGACGTCCACCAAAACCTACTTTGGCGGTTCGCGCGTGCTATTGACAAGCACTGCCAATCGTTTGCCTTTCAAAGAGATCAAAAATAAAAACATTTAGTGGATCTCACATCGTATTTTTCTTCAATGTTTCTTTGAGCAGGCCTGATTTGATTGACTACGCTTCCCTAAGACCCAGTCAACACGAGGCAAACCTGACCAACGCCTTCAAAGTGGCCGAGGAGAGGCTGGGTATCACCAGACTATTGGATGTCGAGGGTAAGACTTCAGAACAATGTCAAGAAAACCACAGGGATTCCAGTTGCACCTCCTATCGATTATCCCTCAAACCTTCAATTTCTATCGATATCCCTAACTAACCTCTGGCTGATCTAAGTTAGGGCACGGCTAACTCACAGATAGAACCCTGAAAAAACCTCTGGGCTGATCTAATTCAGGGCACGGCTAACACACAGACAGCGTGTTAGTTTTTGCAGAGGGATGAAAACCCTCAAATCAAGGGAGGGATCAAGCTAACAAACTCTACTCACGTGTGATACCATTTCAAAGAATCGAACCCGAGACCCCAGAGATGAGAGGCAACTTCACCAACCGGACCGATAAAAACACTACTAAGAGAAAATGGTCTGAACCCAGGAGTTGAAGTTTGCTGTGAATTAGTGTGATCGTCCAGTTGAGTGTAGTCTTCATTAAGACTGTCGTTGGTGACTGACATTTCGATTACCTTAGCGGAAGTCATCTTCAGAGTCCAGTGAGAAAACGAATAACAACAGGACCCAACAATAGTGTTTCTCAAGACTACACTCACCCGGACGATCACACTTCACAACGAAAAGACTGTATAAAATGTAAGCGGAAGACAATATTTCACTGGATATTTATAAACTCTCTTCTCGTAGATGTGGACTGCGCTCGTCCAGATGATCGCTCTGTCATGACGTATGTGTCTGCTTACTATCAGTTCTTTGCCAAGATGAAGTCAGAGGAAACAGGCGGCAGACGCGTTGCCAAGGTAACGGTTATAATATATTTATAAATTACTTCAATTTTAGTACGCGCGCTGTGATTGGTCGAAACGCTGGGAAAACCATATTTATATATCAGAGAATGTGTATGAACATAGATAATCAGTGTGCTGATGGAGATCGAGGAGATGGAAAGTACATATGAATCCATGGTGTCAGATCTCTTGTCCTGGATTAACAACAAAATCAAAGACATGGCAAAACCATTCCACAAATCTCTGGCAGCCGTGAAGAAAGAAATGATAGCATTCAAGCTCTTCAGGACCATCGAGAAACCTCCTAAGTGAGTACAAATATTTACAATATATTTATGGTAAACAATAACGGACTGACGGACGGACGCACGGACGGACGCACGAACGGACGGACTGGTGGATACAATTGTACGTCGTTTGAAGGGAGTAGGGTGATCAGTGTGATCTGTTAAAACACATAGCCAGTTACATGCATGCCGCGTACTAAGTACTGTAGTATACAGGCTGACAGAAGCCAAAAACGTTTGAATATGATATAACCGGGTAATTATGTGCGATACCTTGCAAGGATGCTATAGTTATACCAGCATTTTTTATTTCCAGATACGCCGAAAGAGTCAACATAGAAGCTCACCTGTTTAGTCTTCAAACCAAACGCACAGCTAACAATCAGAAGCCCTACATACCCCCTGAGGGGTCGTTTGTCAAGGACGTTAATATGGCGTGGCAAGAGATGGAGAGCGCGGAACACGATCGAGCACTTGCTCTAAGAAACGAACTCATTCGGTAAGTCTTGATGGAGAATACTTGATGGAGTTATCAGTAGAGTTTCGTCAATTTTTGTTCCCTCCGGAGAAAACCAACTGCTAAATTTCAATTACTTTCAGTAGAAGAAGAACCACTTTATTTCCTTTCTTTTCTTTTCTTTTCTTTTCTTTTCTTTTCTTTTCTTTTCTTTTCTTTT